GATAGACATACTGGAGATTATTGCAATGAAGGCTGCAATACATGTCTTGAATCGAAAAAATGTATCGAATGTAAGGATGGTTATTATTTAAATATTGACTTAAAAGGGGAGACAACTTGTGTTAGTTGCACTATTAGATTTGATAATTGTTAAAGATGTAATAGATATAATTGTACTAGATGTTAGACAGGTTATTCTTTTAATTTTACTAATTATTGCCATTAAAATTAAGATGATCAAAACAGTATAGCTTATGGCAAATCTTGTAATGAATAAGGATGTAGTTCATGTTATTTAAACGAAAAACGCTGTAAAGATTGTTTAGACGGCTATTATTTAGATTTTGATAATAATTCAAACTATTATTATAAAAAATGTTTTAGTTGTAGTAGTAGATTCAGTAATTGCTAAAGATGCGGTCCTAGTTTTTGCGAAAAATGTAATGATGGATATTCATATGATAAGTCTGATAAATAATGCAAACAAAGCAAATATGTTTAATAGAATTCTCTTAATTTTTACATAGATGGATGTTATTAATCTGATAATTCTGGAAAATGTAATGAATGTTTGGATGCATATTATGATGAATGGAAAATTAATAATATTCTAAATAGTAAATCTTGTGTTTCATGCAGTAGAGAATACTATAACTGTGTTGAATGTAATAAAATAGAATGCACCAAATGTAGAGATGGATATTAAATTAATGTATAAGTAAAATAATGCTTTAAAATTCCCGGAACTAGATTTTTACATAAAGTTTAAGCTATTTATTAATGATTAAATAGTTAAACTATTAAATAATACGTTCTTTTGTTATTGCTGCTTTTGATTAGAACAATTAATATTATAATTTAAAATAATCATAATTTAATATATATAAATTTATAATATTTATTTTTTCATTATATTTTATATAAGTGATAAAAATTTATTTTTGACTATATTAATTATTATAATTGGCATTTTTATAGAACAATAAGAAATTTTATTTATTTAATTTTTTAATAAAAAATTACAAAATAAAGATTAAATTAATTTTTTTTTTTTTTTTACTAATATAAAAAATTATGTTTATGATAATAAATTATTTTAAATTATCATTTAAAAGTAATTCTTTATTATCTCTTTTAAAATTTTAGATTTTTTAATACTATTCATTTAAATATTAAATTTTTATTTATTATTATTATTTATTATATTTGAATTAACTTCTTAAATATGTCAAATTTCTGTTCTGAAAAAGGAGTTTGTGTAAACGGCCAATGTATAAGCCCAGCTGGATTTGAATGAGTTTATTGTTACCTAGAATATTTAGGAGCATTTGATAATAAGACTTTTGTGTGTGATGTAAAAGAAATCGTCCTAATGTATAGGAATATTTGACTTTTGGTATTATCTAGATTTAATGGTCAAAAATTTAAGTGAATAGATAATTTATCATTTGTGTAATACTTGCGAATAAGGCTTTTTTTTAATTATGATAATAATAAAGTAGTGTTTAATTTTATTTTATTTGGATATGTTTTGAATTTATAATTCAAAAAAAAAGGAGATTTAGATTAAATGTATATATTTAGTATAAGTAATTTATTTATTATTTAATCTTAATAAAACAACCTTATTTACTAAACAAATAACAGTTAAAATGATTTTTTATAAAAAGCTCTTTAAAAATAATATTTACAAACTTAAATAATATTATATAGAAGTAAAAATTTCGGAATAATTTTTAAAAACTTCTCAATCCAAAATATCTTTAAAATAACGAATTATTACAAAAACAATTTATTTATTTATTTCAAAAATTTTAAATTGGTAATATACATATAATTTCTTATTGATTTTTTTAAATTTAATAGGAAATTATTTATTTTAAATATAATTATTTTTATTAAAATAAAAAATTTATTCTAAAAAATAAAAAACTATTAAAATAAATTTGCTAAAACAAATAAAAAAATAAAAAAATTTAAAAATAATAGTATAATTTTTATAATTATTATTATATATTTTAAATATATATAAAAAATATTTAAAATTAAAATAATAAAAAATTATAAATATATATATATAGTATATTATTTATTTTCAAATATATATATATATAATATTAAAAATAAATAAAAAATATTTATTATATATATTAATTCTATACTTATAAAAACTCTTAAATTTATAATATTCATCACTATCGGAATATTACTAAAAAAATTATCTTAAAACTCTTTGTTTAATTTAAAGTTTAAAAAATTTATATCTATAATTAATATACTATATTCTAATAATCTAAAGTTATAGCGAATTCTAATTTCGAAAATATACACTGAAATGAGTATGAGAAACATTATCAATTTATACACTTTATACTATAGGTTTGAAAAAAATTATAGGTTAATAAAAATTATTATATATAAATATAAGTAAAAGAAAATAAATATTAAAGTGATAAATTAAAAATATTATATATATAGTATAATATTTATATATATATAATAATAATATATAAAAATAAAAAGTTTAAATAATTTATTATATCAATATAAAAATTTAATTATTTATTAGTTTTTTTAAAGTCTATTTTTTTTATATTACCCAAAATAAACTTATATAAAAAATTAAAACTAGGAGAAGCTTCTTTATAAAAAATATTATCACAAAAAAATAGATTATATCAGTTACTGGACATAGAAAATCTAATAAAAAAAAAATATTTAATTAATTATATTATACACACAAATCAATTTTTTTATTTTAATATAATTATATTTTGTATATAATAAACTAATATTTTTTATGATAAAAGAATTTTAAGTTAGAAATTTACAAAAGAAATAAAACATATAAAAAAAGCCTGTAAAACATATATCTAAAAATTTAAAATTAATTAAAAAAAAGTAAACAATTATTTGTCATCTTATCCATAATAATTAAAAGAAGTTAGTAAAATTGTAAAGAATATTAATAACATATAAACTTAAATTTAATATTTTAAAATAAAAATAATTTAAAAAAAACTATAAAAGTATTAATTTTTATTTTCTTTAAAAATATGAATTTTCATAATAAATAATTGCTAATTTAGATTTATTGTTTAAAATAAAATATTAATATTTTTGAATTAATTATTTAGAAAGAATTTAATTATAAATGTTTTTATAATTAATTTTTGTAGAAAATAATTTTTAAATAAATAAAGAAAATAAAAATTTAATAATCATTATTAAAATTTTCAATGAATTCGAAAATTCGTTTGTATAATAAATAAAATACTTATCATAATTTAAAAAAAAAAAATTAAATTTAATATTTAAAAATATGAAAAAATAAATATTATAATACTTAAATTTAAATAAATATTTTCATTGTTTTTTTCAGAACCATCTCAATAATAAACTATATAAAATACATCCAAAAAACCTAAAACTCCTTAATTACTATTCTATTATTAATTATCGGTTTCAAACAAAAGTCTAGAAAATTTGATTGATTTTTTATTATACTCAAAGCTAACTTATTTAATATTCAGTATGATATATTTAAAAATTATCATCTACCGTAAATCTTACATAATAATTAATTGAATAAAGTAAGATAACAACCATATTATTAAATGAAAAAATCAATATAATAATAATATTAAAATTCAAAATATTATCCATATTTTATATTTGCAACATCCCAAAGGAAATGTTGTTCAAGTATTTCCACCTTTAGTAAAAAATTTCTTAGCAATTTTTAAGAAAGCACATTATATTAAATTCAAGATATCATCTAATACAATTATTATAAGTATATATTGCTTATTTTTCCACAAATTTGATATTATATTATTATAATTCTAAATATTAAGTAGATTATATAAATTTCCAGCTAGAATGCATAATATTCCAGTATTAATCACCTAAAAAATAATTTCGAAATCTTAAGAAGTTTCGAAAAATTATGATGATATAATTTAATATTTACAATCATCTTACAGTAAAACCTGTATCTTTAAAAAACTCAATAGTAGATATAGAAAAATACACATAAATAGATACTTATGTGCATATTATTATATTATTATAAATAAAAAAATTTATTAATATTTATACTATAAATTAACAAAAAAAATATAATAATATAAAAATTTAAATATATATTTATTTATATAATTATTTTTATATATATATAATTATTATTATATATATATATATATATCTATTTATTTATTTAAAAAAAAAATTGTTTTAAATATATAAATATGTCATTGATATAATATCGTATTCTTGTCATATGTATCAGCTGTAAGATAATTATAATATTTAGTACAAATTTCTTTAAATAAATAAGGTTTTTAATTTCACATAGTTTTTTACTATTTATCTTTATATTTATATCGATAAAATATTAAAACTATAGGATATATCTAAACATAGCAATACCTAAAAATAAAATATAATTATATATCTAAGAAAAATTTTAAAAAAAAAATTATAAAAAATTATTTTCGGTTCTAATAAAAAGAAAATGTATAAAAATAAATTAAAAATTAATAAATAAATATATAAATAATTTATTTATTTATAAATAAAAAAATTATAGAATAGAAAAATTTTTTTTAAAAAAAATTATATAATATAAAATAAATAATATATAAATATATAAAATATATAAATATATTAAATATATAAATATAAAAATTTATAAATATATAAATATATTATTTCTTCTATATGTATAAATCTCAATTATAATTTTTCAAAACATTATATAATTATATTTCTTTAAATATTTTATTTTATTGTTTTTTTTATGTTTAGATTTCTTTTTCTTTTTCTTTTTAATAATTTATAATATTTGTTATTACTGCTCTTATAGTACTTTATTTAATAAAGCAATTATTATTATTTTTTTCTTTAAAGGTTTTTTAAGTAAATAACTAAATTATTATTAAAATTTACCTTCTTCTTATTATCTTATGGGGTCTTTAATCTTCAAGAACTTAGACCAATATTTAAAATTTGGAAGGTTTTTATTTTTATGAAAGAAATAGTCTAATAGTTAGGATAATAATAAGCGAGAGAAGTATTAGATTTAACAAAGCAATTTAAATTCAAAAAGTTTTCTCTTTTTTTAATAGGGAATGATATTTAAATAATTTTTATCTTAAAAAAGAGCTGTGTTTGATACTCACTTTTTATTTTTCTTCAAAAAGGTAAAATTTTATGATTTGTAAAATTGCCCTACTTATATAGGACCTTAAAAATCGCATAATTTTTGAAAAAAGCCTTTGTTTTTATTGGGGTTTGGTATTTGGATTTTAACTTACATGTTTTATTGTTTTTTCTAAATTTAGATTTATAAAGAGGCGAATTTTTTTTTTTGAATTTAATTTTCAAGAAAATATAGCTATTTTCCAGCTGTTAAATAAATTATTTTCTTAATATAATTTCTATTTCATAAAAAGAAATCAATATTATAGGTTTTATCTAATTCCTCTTATATTTTATATTTCAAATAATTAACAATTAAAATAATCTTTGAAAATATGAGAAAGTTAATCAATTTATCCAAAACTGAAATTTTCTAAATTAATTTCTTTCTCATTTTTAATTTCTTTATTCCAAAATTCCTATTTCTAATTTACGAAATCTTAAAATGTACTATCTTTCCCATATTAATATAATACACGAGCTTCTAATTCTTATAGTTTATTGTTTTTTTTACAGACATTACACAAAATTCATAATTTATTTATAAAATATTTTAAAACTTAACTGTTATTTCGTTACATGGATTATTCGACATACTATGTTTATATTTTTTTCTATTTAATAGTTTATGTATGGCTTTATATAGGCTAATTTTTATATTATCGTTGTTGATTCATCTTAAACAGTCGTCTCTGCAAGTGGAATTATATAATGTGTTTTGATAAAACAGGCACTTTGTCCAAAAATAATATATTCGTGACTGGCTTTTGTGATTTTAACATTGGTGAGTATATCACTAAGTACTAAGTTTTCTAATTAGATTAAAGAAGAAAAATAAAAAGGTCTCTTATATGCTTTTGGAACTTTTCATGGAATGTATTTGGTTGAAGGGGAACATTTAGGAGATGAATTAGATATTAAAATAGTTGTTTATTTAGGATTTAAGATCAGGAAAGAGTCCACGTGTAAGTTAGAAGCTTTTAATAGTAATTAACTGTTAAAGTGGTAAAATAATGGGAATTCGAGAGCTAGTTTTAGAGAATGTAGTGCGTAGCTTAGGATTAAAATGGCAAAAATTACGTGTTTGTGAAAGTTTCAAAGGAAATGATATAAAAAATATACTTAAATATTTTTTGATTATAAAAAATATCAAGAAAAATAAAGAATTTCACTAAATTCGAAAATAGAGTAATTGATTTAAATAAAAAGAATTATAATATAATCAAATAAATTTAAGAAAAATGTAAAGAGAAGATATCAAAAATAATCTAATTTTTTTAGGTATATTAATTCAGAAAATAAAATAAAAGAAGATAATGGAGAAAATATATTAATACAAAAAAATGATCAATAAATTATAAATATCTGGAGACAACCTTTTTATAACTGTTAAATGCGCAAAAAATAGTTATGTTTTAGATTGAAAAATATTATATTATTTTAAGCAATTCACTTTAGAATTTTTTTTTATTAGAATAAAACTGATGAAAAAAATGATATTAATAAGTGATTTTATATTAAATTAATTTTAATTAAGAAATTAAAAAGAATAAACTTATAGATATTTAATAGATAAATATAAATTAATTAATTAAAGATTTAAATAGAAAAAACATTTAATTTTGCTAATAGTAAACTTAACAAAAATAGAAATATAAAATTATTTATTTACAAAAACGATATTATAATAAATATATAAAAATATATATATATATATATATATATATATATTATATATATAAATATAAACTTTAATTTTAATAAATAATATATAAAATTTATAATTTTTAATTTTATTATTTTCTTTTATATCAATATTTCATATATATATAATATTCATATAAAATAATTATTTTATTATTAATAAACATAAAGATAAATTGATATATTATATTATTTTATATTAGAAATTAACATATGACAACATTATAATTTTTAAAAATAGTATATTTACCAATAATAATAACATAAATTTTTATTACCTTCATTTATTAATTAAAGCGTACTAATATATTTTATAAATTTTATAATAATAATATATTTTTATTTTTAAATATTAAAATTTTATTTATAATATTATTAATTAAAATATTTTTTTTTTAATATATATTTTTTATATCTAACTTTAAAATATATTATAGTTTATTTTTTAAAAAATATTTTATATTTAATATAAATAATTTATTATATTCTTTCAAAACTTTTTTAATTATAAATTTTTTTTTTATATTTAATATTTGAAAAATAAAATATTAAGATATTTTTTTTTTAATTAATATCTTTAAATATTATTAATTATACAATAAATTTATTATAAAATCAATATTTTATAAATCTATAATTTTTTTAACAATTATTAAAATAATAACATTAATTTTTTTTAAAATTATTTAAAAAGAAAAAAAATTATAAAAAATAATTTTCATAAAAGTATAAGCTTATATATACATTTAGTATATTTTTTTACAAATAGAAATAACATGTAAAATTAATAATATATAAATTATTAGATTATATAATAAATATTTTTTATTATTATAATTAACTTAAATAATATATTTTATTAGCGTTTAAATTTGAATATGTATTTTATACAATCTAATTTTTTCCTTTTTATTTAACATATATTTATAATTATTTTTAAATTAATTTTTATGTTTTTAAAATAACTCTTACAAATTATAATTTTCCATCTCCCTATAATAAATCCTTAATTTATCTCATTATATCATATTTTATATTTTTATTTATAAATCCAAAATTATTATATTTAAAACCCTATTTTTTCAGTATTTCGTACATAATATAGTTATTATTAACCAAAAAATGATTACATTGTTTTAATGAATTACTTTAACTGTATAGATATTTTAATATAAGTCTGACACTATTTCTGAGTAAACAGAATATATTCCGTAACTACATATTAATAGAAATAATTTTAATATTATTTTCTCTATTTTTAATTAAAATGCGAATATATTTTCGATCATCAACTATCTATCCTTCGAGGCCATTTGCAACTATTTTTAATTATTTTTTATTGTTTACTATTGACCTGAAATAGTTGTATATGATTTATTTTAATTTTATTATAAACCTTGTTTTTAATCTTAAATTTAATTTAATACATTTAAACCTCCTTTTGAGACAGCAGTAAATATAAATATTCATTAGTAAACAATATTTTTGTTATTATATAAATAATATAACATAAAATTATTAAATTTGCCTTATTAAAATATAATTAAATTAAAAATAAATAAATTTAATATTAAACAATATAATATGATTATACTACTAATATTTTTTTTAATTTATTAAAAATAATGAATTTTAAATATAATTTAAAAAATAATTTTAAATAAAATATAAAAAATAATTTTAAATAAAATATAAAAATAATTTTAAATAAAATATAAAAAATAATTTTTAATACTATAATGAGAAATTTGATAAAAAAATACAGTCTTTTTGCATTAAGTTTCTGTCTTTTATTATTATTAGCAAAATACTGTCTAAAAATGAAAAAAAACATATCTAAAAGTATATATAAAAAAAAAAAAACCTAAAAAAAAAAAAAAGTCTTTAGATTTAACAAAAACGGCTTATTTTTTAAACGAGAAATAAAAACACATAGTCTTTTAATCATATATTATGATACAAGATCTGGTACAAAAAAAATATTTGCAATTGAAATTCTTTTAGAAACCGAAAAAAACTATCATTAAGAAAATTTTTAAACCTTACAGAATTTGATTTAAATCAATTCATAAGTATCAAATATTGCATTTTTTTAATATGTATAGAAAAGGAGTTCAGAAAAATGACGCAGCTAAATATTTCAATTAGCTAAAAAATTAAAAAGACCCAAAACAACTTTCTGATATGAAATATATTATTTTCGGCTTAGGCTATTCTTAATATGACGATTTTTTTGGAATATCTGTAAAAAAAACAATAAACTATAAGAATTAGAAGCTCGTGTATTATATTAATATGGGAAAGATAGTACATTTTAAGATTTCGTAAATTAGAAATAGGAATTTTGGAATAAAGAAATTAAAAATGAGAAAGAAATTAATTTAGAAAATTTCAGTTTTGGATAAATTGATTAACTTTCTCATATTTTCAAAGATTATTTTAATTGTTAATTATTTGAAATATAAAATATAAGAGGAATTAGATAAAACCTATAATATTGACTTCTTTTTATGAAATAGAAATTATATTAAGAAAATAATTTATTTAACAGCTGGAAAATAGCTATATTTTCTTGAAAATTAAATTCAAAAAAAAAAATTCGCCTCTTTATAAATCTAAATTTAGAAAAAACAATAAAACATGTAAGTTAAAATCCAAATACCAAACCCCAATAAAAATAAAGGCTTTTTTCAAAAATTATGCGATTTTTAAGGTCCTATATAAGTAGAGCAATTTTACAAATCATAAAATTTTACCTTTTTGAAGAAAAATAAAAAGTGAGTATCAAACACAGCTCTTTTTTAAGATAAAAATTATTTAAATATCATTCCCTATTAAAAAAAGAGAAAACTTTTTGAATTTAAATTGCTTTGTTAAATCTAATACTTCTCTCGCTTATTATTATCCTAACTATTAGACTATTTCTTTCATAAAAATAAAAACCTTCCAAATTTTAAATATTGGTCTCAGTTCTTGAAGATTAAAGACCCCATAAGATAATAAGAAGAAGGTAAATTTTAATAATAATTTAGTTATTTACTTAAAAAACCTTTAAAGAAAAAATAATAATAATAGCTTTATTAAATAAAGTACTATAAGAGCAGTAATAACAAATATTATAAATTATTAAAAGAAAAAGAAAAAGAAATCTAAACATAAAAAGGACAATATATTTTATAAAATTTTATTATATTTCGTTTACAAAAAGGACTATAGAATAATATATAAATATAAGAACTATAAAATTTATAAAAAGTATATTTTTGTAAAATAAAGATACGTATATTAACAATAATAAAGGCAAAAAAATGAAATACGCAAAAGAATTAATGGAAGAAGATTTAGTAATTTTTAAATAAATAATTAGTTTTTTAAAAAAGGATATATATATATATATATATATTTGGAAATTAAGTAAAATAAAAAAAAGAAAAAGAATTGAACGCGTATGTTTATAAAAGAAAGGTAATGTTTAGCTAAAAGAATAAAAAAAAAGAAAATAAAATAGATTTATGAGGATAATACAAAATTAAAAAATTCAATTAATAAAAGCATAAATAATAAAAAATTAAATAAAAAAGATAAATTAATAGATAAGTATAAATTTTAAATAAATATATATAAAAATTATATTTTTATAAAAAATTTATTTTTTTAAAATAAAATTATAAATATAATTTTTGATATTTTTATAAATTTTTATTTTAGTATATATCTATATATTTTATTTTTAAAATATTAATATTTTCTTAAAATTATAATTTTTATTTTTAAAAAAATATAGTATTATATAGAAAAAATTTATATATAAAAAAAATATTTATAAAAAATTTTATAAATATATTTTTAGATTTTTTTATTATTACAAAATACAAAATAAT